ACAAGCCGTCAAAAATAGCGGCAGCGAGGCTTTGTGTGAAGGCCACCATGCGGTCACATTTCCGGTAGTTCTTTACAAGACGCGCGCTGTGATTGGAAGAGATCTTTGAAGTTAGCAAGCAAGTGAAATGCAAAATAGAATGTTTCTCATCGTCTGCTGAAGTTTTGAACTTTGAGGAATCATAACTTCTCTTTCCGTGCACCAATTTCCATAATTCTTGTTGGATTTGACTCAGTGATCATCGCTGCGTGCGTTCCGGTGCCAAATAAAGCTGTCTAATAAAGTGTTGCACGGCCCTTTCATGTTCCCAAACTCGAATCTTTCTTCTTTAATTTCTTAGGGGGGCGGGGGCTTATTTCTCTTTTTGTCACTTTAGCTTCTAGCTCTGTTCCTGGTGTGCTACTGGAGTATCTATTTAACAGGTGGGTAGAAAACATCAGCGAGCTGACAGGTAGAAGGCTGCAATTTTTTCCAAGACATCTTTGTAACTAATTCTTGTAGGTCTACTTCTCATTATCACAACAATTATTAATGAAATGATGAATGTTTTGCCTTCTATGCAGGTGGCATCTTCTGTATACACAGGCCACAAAATAGAAAGAGGGAATGTGAGTGGATGTCGATCAGTCTATTAGTCACACATGTCCTTGCAAACGTTTCCAAACATGAGTTCCCCTCTTGCTTTGCTTCCGTTCATTAGGCAGGGGTTGTCGCATTGTTCAGGTCAAAACTATGCCCTGTAAGCTCAGTTTGAGAACGCATTGCATAGCTGACTTCAGCAACCTTTCTTCTCGAATTTTGCTGCCCGTTTCACCTGTGTATTTATGTCGCTTTGCAATCCCAACATCATACTTGTAGATGACCCCACATTGTTGGTCTGCAGGTGTGAAGCCCTTGGTTTTAAAAACATGTGTCCCAATGGTTCATATACTCAGCGAATGCGAAATTTTCCAAAGATGGTCTGGTACACCTTGAAGAACATAAGGAATGGACGTCGTCTTCACTTGCTTTGCACTTTCCATACCTTTTCACACGTTTTTAGTACATGCTATTATTTGGCATGTAACCCATTACTCATTTTATATGGTAACAGTAACAAGTTATTTTTGGAAAATCGGGAGATGTAACTGCAACAGAGTTACCTTTCTGGCTTAGGTAAGTCTGTAACAATGTTACTTTTCACTCGTAACGTGCCCATGACTGATTTTAGATAAGCAACTATATGGCCCTAGATCACGTGCTACATCTCGCTAACCGGCACAACAAGAGTGTTCCACACACACCGTCATGGCTACTAGCAGCACTGACTCCATTTAGATACACATTAATATGCCCCATAAAGTGAACGTGGGGATGACCACCAACGTAGCTCAGTTGGTAGAGCATCGGACGCTTTATTCGATGGTCACAGGTTCGGTCCCTGCTCGCGACAAGTTATCTTTTTGTCCACTTTTCTTTTTAACATTAGTCTAACAACTGCTCATAACATCACCTTGGCATTATTGTCTGTTAGTTCTCATTAATATTATATTGAGTATCATTACTGCGTCGGCCTCTGCATATTTCCACAGGAAACAGCAGCCGAAGCGGCCGAGCTGGGCGCTCTAGACAAGAGTGATTCCGCCTGTACACGGGTGCTTCGCCCCATCGAAATGCGGCACCATGATGGCACCACGGCGGTTGCGAGACACAAACATCCTCAAGAGGTGTAGAACAGATCAAACGCTCTTAAGGCTAGCCTGCATGCCGCACTCACCTGTACATAAGAACAATCCCTGCAAGTGCGCGACTGTCTCGCTGAAACCACCGTGTAATGACTGCAAGCGCTGCGGTGATGGCATGTCACTCACTCACCTCAAAGATAATGCAACGATTGGCATGTTTGGGCACTTCTGAACAGGGATCTACGTACATTGTAGGCTACGGAACAGTGACGTCGTTCATCATTGTCACATCGTCCGACTCGTTCCCAGTGCTGCTCGCAGACAATGCAAATATGGAACTACAAGGAACCATGAAGCCCACTGAAAGCACAACCAACGTTTTCAACACTTGCGCTTTGTCTGTCATCTGTGCACAAACATCTGAAATCAAGCAGCCACGCACTCGAAGCAAGCACCAGCTTGTGTTATCGAATTCAAAGATCGTATTCACTATGACCGACAGCGACATATTTGATTTTTGAGAGTGATGTTGATGTTAGTCGGGCTGTCCCATTGCGAAGCATGGCTATAATTAGGCAATTACATTCTGGATGGATGTATGTGGTTGTACCCTTTAGATCGGGCGGCAGCTATAAAGCCACCTAGCCGTAATACTTAGTGAACTAACCACTATATTTATCTTTTTTTTTCCTTTAAATAGTAAAGTCGGACGCGTACTTTGCAGTGAAGGGTTTAATTTTCCCTCGTGCCTTGACTTTAGCCACCAATCGGATAACCTCCTTCTAGTTAAGTCTACCCGCTTAAGGTCTATTTTGCCCTCCCTGTCCCTAAACCCCAGTGCTTTGAAAAATTCTGCGCCATCATCCTGAACTGTAGGGTGTAGCCATTTACAGAACATTATCAAGTGTTCGGCAGTTTCTTCTTCCTTTCCACACGCACTGCATACTGTGTCTACCCCTTCGTATTTGGGCCGATATGTCTTGGTTCACAGTACTCCCGTCCTGGCCTCAAACAGTAGAGAACTACCTCGAGTATTATCATAGATCCTTTCTTGGCAATTTCATGCTTAAAAGTTTGATAGATCTCTAGTGCGGATTTTTTAATCATGCCAATTCTCCACATGTCAGTCTCTGTTTCCTTCACTTTTTTCTTAACCGATAGTTCTTTTTGGTTTGGACACGTGCTGTTTTCTAAGTAATTACCAGTCAATTTTCTGGTTCGCTTCCTCCATTTTGTATCGACATTCTTCATGTCCAAGTAGCTGAAAACCTTCCTAGCCCAACGCTCCTCCCCCATTTCTCTCAATCGCTTCTCGATTGATTGATTGATATGTGGGGTTTAACGTCCCAAAACCACCATTTGATTATGAGAGACGCCGTAGTGGAGGGCTCCGGAAATTTCGACCACCTGGGGTTCTTTAACGTGCACCCGAATCTGAGCACACGGGCCTACAACATTTCCGCCTCCATCGGAAATGCAGCCGCCGCAGCCGGGATACGAACCCGCGACATGCGGTTCCGCAGCCGAGTACCTTAGCCACTGGACCACCACGGCGGGGCCTCAATCGCTTCTCAATTTTTTTCCTTTTTTTTTTTTTGTCTTGCTGCTAGCTTCCCTGCCCTCAAATGATGTCCATCCCATATCACCTTGTACTCACTGATTTGGTGTATTCCCGTGAGCTCCTAAAGCAAGCCTACCTTTGCCGCGTTGCTTAATTTCTAATCTTGCTTGAACTTCTAACCTTATGCACAAGACCGCATTGCCGAACGTCAGCCCAGGAACCATGACCCCTTTCCACATTCCTCTCACAACATCATACCTATTGTAATTCCACAGTGCCCTATTTTCCATCACTGCTGCATTCCTGTTACCTTTATTCGTCACGTATATTTTGTTTACTACGGGCAACTGGCGCCACTTATCGTGATGATGTGGAACTACTAGCGGTTAATTAGAGTGGCCGCAAGGGGGACGGAGGGAGATGGCGAGCGCGAAGTGGTTCAGGAGGTATCGGTTATGTAATCTCTTTGAATCGTTAATAGAGGTTTTTAGTTTGACGTTTTTACGCTCTGCTTAGCAGCTAAGCGGAGCGGGAATGCGAGTGCGCATGCGCCCTCCGCTAAGGCCTTAAGCGGGTTACCGGAGCGGGGAATACGGTCCGCTTACGAGCAGCCTAAGCGAAGCGCGGTGCGTCACTGCCGTTTTTGCAAGCTGAAGGGGGACAACGCGCGCGCCCTCTCTCGTGCGTGCAGTAACTTTGCTCATTTCAAGATAGCTGTCTCCGGAGATGGCACGCTTTCCGCGAGTGCTTGCATGGTTATTCAAATGCAGTTTCAACGGTGAAAAATAAAAACGCCGCCACCACACACGCGTCAAAAGCGCAAACAACACACAGTAAATGCTTGCAATGGATCTGGAACGGAACCTTGCTGGCTTTTGAGTGGTTACTATCAAGTCAGAGCTTGCTTTTTTGTCAAAAATATAACGGTTAATACATTAAAAGTGGATTTCTAAATACTTCGGGAAAAGATAATTTGTACGTTATTGTTTTGCCTTGTATACGTGAAAAAAAAATGTTTTTTATTTTGTTTATCGACGATGAAAACGACCAGAGGGCGCTGCAACTGCGAAAGGTCCGCTTCACTGCCGGCAACCTCTGTGGCCGGCAACGAATAACTAAAAGAGAAAAATCAGCCGCCGCTCCGCTGCGGTTTCGCGGGTGCTCCCGGAGCGGGGCGGACTACAAAAACGTCAAACTAAAAACCTCTAATAAATCAGTTGTTTGTCGTTCAATCAGTCGTGTCATCGTATGCATCAACCCCTGACACTATTCATAGAGTGGCTACTCGCACTCTTGAACGAACGACCTCCCCTATAGCCGCGAACGCCCTGCCCTACCCTGTGATTTTACCCTCCTCCTTCAGTACGAAGGCGAGCGTCTCCGACGGCCGCCCCATGCGAACACAGCAATGCAAACTGGTAGGTGTTCTGTGGCAATGCTCTCACAGTTGCCTCCGAGCAGCCATGATGTCACTTGACAGAGCGGTACGGAGGCGAGTGGTCTCACACGGCGGCCAGTCGCAACACAAGGCAGCAGGCATGGCCTCCAAGATTGTATGCTGGCTGGAGGCTCCCAATTGAAAAAAAAGAGCGACGTTCCAGGCATAGAGTTTCTCAAAATTAAGTTGTAAGAAACTCTATGGCTGCGTCCCCGGCGTGCGCGTCACCAGCACGTCCCCTCCAGAGGCGAATAGCACGCGAGCAATCCTGACGCTGGCGTCCTCCTCGCCCTCATGACGAAATACTCTCGTTCTCGGAGTGCGCCCCGAAGGAATCCCTAATGGCCGTTCATTTTGGTACAAGATGGGAAGAAAAGGCTTGCGCTGTTTTGTTCAATGCACTCGCGCCCCCGTGGAATTTTCGTCTCCGCCTGTGCACCGTGGACTGCTCTCGCGTTGACTTAGGAAGAGGCGTTTGGCGTGGCGTTGGACTAATTTGTGGTCTAGTGTGAATTTTTCGTGTGCGTGAATTTTTTTTTTTAGTTCAGTGAACATTCGGGTCGACGCCTGCGCCTTTTTGCGCCCTTGGCCCTTCAGCAAGAAGTAATCTGCCGTTGTGTCCTACTGTGCGATTTTTTATTTTTTTTACAGTGAACACGCTTGGCTTTTAAGTATATTTGTGGCCGCCGGTGTCCTGAGCCCTCGCGTTGTCGCTCGACGCGATCGCCTTTGTGGTGAACTACTCGCCCCCCCCCCCCCTTTTTTTTTTAATTTAGCGGCGCGGAAATGCTCTGGTGACCTCGCGTTTCAAGACGTGATCGCCGCGATAGCAGTGTGTTGTACGGCTATGGCCAGTAAAAGCAGTGCATGTGAGACATCGGCGCACAGCGCGATCGAATGCGTCAGAGACAATGAGAGCTCATGGCCTGACGTCGACGTGCTTCGAGCAAACATCACCGATGAACGTCACGCCTGCAGCTGGGTAGAAGACTACGGCTTGAAGACGAATACGTCATGGGTTGTAGACTTCGTCAAGCCAACAGCAAAGTGTGAAAGGTAATGCAAAAAATGATGTTATAACTTCATAAATACCTTACGTCGTCTCTGGTGATTAAACTTCATGTTTTGCGGATAATATCCAACGATGCGCCGTCTCAATGGTTGTAGACGAAGTGGAGATGATCGGTACGAGATAGCTAAACTCCGCTCATTCAGTGACATTTTTCAATTATATAGAAATAACGAAATAGGCACATGCACGTGTCCAGCTGGGTGCACAGGTGCCTTTTGTAAGCACCAAGCACTTGTGCACAAGGTATTCAGTGGAATTTTCCCCAATTGCCCAGTGCTAGCCACACAAGACCGCCATGAATTAGGAAAGCTTGCCCTTGGAGATGCATGCCCAAGCGTAGAGTTTTTTGCAAACTCCAGGGACACCATCAATGCACAAGGTGAGCAACACAACCCAGTGCCTCAAGATGAAATGGCTGCTACTACTCCTCCCCAGGATGAAGAGATGCCAGACTCTGAAGCTGTTCTTGACACAGAGTCATGTGCGTCAATTTCACACCTTGAGCAGCAAGAAAGTGAGGTACGTGCCAGCTTCCACAATAAAGTAAATGAATTGTGTGTGTAAGGTTGATGCATCACTGAAATCTGCATAGCAAGCTATACCCAACTGGCTTAGTGGAAAGTAATTCAGCCCTGTTCGGAACTCATGGCATAGAAGGACTGCATAAACTGATTTGTACAGAAATATACAATAGCTACTGCTTTGTGCAGGTGTACAAATTACAGGAATTGACGATCTGACTGAAAAATCTATTTTGTGCACATTGTTTTAGCTTCTGCTTATGAAGCTGTACACATGATGATGATGT